AAGGCTGAGGTACGGTCTTCGTCCATACATGTAATGAAGGATGTAACGTCTCGACAGAGCTCACCCCGACTACCGCAATAATATCGGGAAACTGAAATTCACCCACTAAAGAGACAAATACACGTCTATTATATGCACAGCAGGATCTAGGTAAGCTGATGCATTGTGATGTTTCCAGCAGCCATTGGTGCTACCTGATAAGTAGAAAGAAACCGAGCTAAGCACTTGTGCTTAGCTCGGTTTAGAGCTATTCGGCTTAGAGCTATAGCGTATACCATCAACGTCTACTAAGGAAAACACTTTCACTACCCATAATGCAACACTGTTCACCTATCACAGCTATGCCACCAAAATCGGCGTATATATTACAGCGAAGCTTCCAAAGGATGAAGGAAGCCTTAGGCGTGTAAAAAAAAGTTTCAGTTGAGTAGAAAAACTTCATCGCGTAAAAAAAAATTCACGGGTATTTCGCTGCTTGCGACCTCCTGTGACTGGCGCCATGTTTTTTACCTGAAACCGAGTGGCTGTTGCAATGAGAGTGCGCAATAGACAAGCGATTACCGGACTCGACAGATGTATCAACGAGACCATCAGTGGCGTCATCGGCACATTTCTAGCGCCCGCACCGGTAAAAACAAAACACATACAGCGCAACGGAAAAGAGGCAAAACCCAGACGGCTTCTATGGAGCAGCAGCCCGAAGGCAAAGCGAACCGTATAACCGCGCGTGCCGTTTATCACACATTCCAGGCCGCACGGCCGGCTGCTGCGCGCAATAAATACATGAGGGCGAGCTAGCGTCGTTATTTAGCGGGCGCAATCGAATACAGTATAGCGGAGAGAAGCCAGTCTCAGGACGGCAGCAGGGTAGATGCAACTGGTATAGCGAAGGCTCCATAGAAGCACATACGTTGAGAAAATGGCGGCTGATCAGCTCCTCATGGGGCTTAGCGCCATCTCTGTGAGGAGAGAACACTTCAACAAAAAATAAAGTGGGTGTGACGCAATAGCTGGTAAACAAGTGACGTTATTTTGTGTGCACTAGCACGAGCTTTGATCTCAAATCACTTTTCATAGGTCTCTGATCGCACTAAGACTCGCGCTAAGGCGAGTGCGCTTCAAGTTTATCTAATACCGACTCATGACAAGATAATGATGTTGTGTACTACAGTTCACTCTGCCTCTGCTTGGCAAGGAAACTTTTAAAACATAGTGACCGCTTCGACTTTGAATCAAACTTGGTTTTTCACTGTTTGTTCCCTCCACACCTAGTCAGTCGCGCATCAATCTCAGCTCCCATAACTCCCTATGGTTATGTCGCTGGCAATAGCTTCTGAACCGCTTTTTGCCCGAACTTTCGTGACCTTATTTGAATAGACCTTGGCGGCGGTCTCGGGAAAACCCGGCGCGTTTTTACGCGTGCTTAGCTGCACGGAGAGACCAATGTGCCCGCTCTCCTTAATGTCCGCCCGCGGAGCATTATGTATACGCTGCCCTGCCCGCGCTATACGCAAAGCGCGGTCGCATGCTCGATTTGCATTCGCAATGCCCATGGTGTTCCCGCAAACAAACACTTCGCCTTCTGCCCGATCCTTCCGCGTAATTACGCCAGCAGCGGTGGCCATGCATTGTCTTCGGGGGCGCCTCCTGGTGGCGCGCCCCGAACCTTGGTTCGCGCGAGGTGGGTTCCCAGCGCCGCGCAGATACCGCTTGCTGTGCAAGTCACGAAGGCCAGGAGGATCTCGATCGGAAGGTGACCACCGCAGTATGCAGCGTGCTCTGTGCCATTATGCTAACGAAGGCGCGTACGTCTCGCGTGGGCAGAACAGGCCAACTTTTCACGGCCCTTCGCGCCACAGGGGCCTGCGGCAACGTGTCACTCATCGGCACCACACTCCTCGGGCCCCTGCGCTAATAATGCAATGTTCACTGTTTACCGCGGCCATGTGGCAATGACGCGTCTCCACGGGGTTCAAGTTTACCACACTGACGCTCACGTACCCTCACTCGCTGCTCTCTGGAGTAACAGAGCTAAGCAAAAAAAAAAAAAAAGGCACGTTCTGAATTGAGGCGTGCCTGGGGTTGCTTGCGAGCAGTAACAATGGAGGATGTATAATGACTTAATAAATGAGCGCGAGTATACGCTGTAGCTCATCGTGCTGCGGTGTACGAACGGCCGTTACCTGCATGCGTATTGGTGTAGTGCACCTGCGGGACGGCCTTTCCACATGACCGCGCCGTGGCCTGGCTTTAGCGCGAGCTCATCTTCATGTCCTTCGTGAATAATATTCTTTGATTCAAGCCGGAGGGAAAGAGAGGTTATCTTGTAGCCTATCCCGGTCACCAGTCCGGCTTGATCCATGGCTGCTATTGACTCCGCTTGCCCCGCCGCGGTGGTCTAGTGGCTAAGGTACTCGGCTGCTGACCCGCAGGGCGCGGGTTCGAATCCCGGCTGCGGCGGCTGCATTTCCGATGGAGGCGGAAATGTTGTAGGCCCGTGTGCTCAGATTTGGGTGCACGTTAAAGAACCCCAGGAGGTCTAAATTTCCGGAGCCCTCCACTACGGCGTCTCTCATAATCATATAGTGGTTTTGGGACGTTAAACCCCACATATCAATCAGTCATTGACTCCGTTTGTCTGAACCCGTTGTGTGGGCCACTATAGCAGTGATGTCCCGACTATACGCGGGAGTAACAATAATTGTATTTACTACTGATCTGATCGTATGATACCAGTGAGTGCATCGTCCTTAACGTTGAACAACGGAAAACGCGTGTTGTCCCAAGGGCCTGCCTGTTATGTCCAAATCAGCGTTACTAGAATAAAGTCACTTCCAAAGCTCCGTATCCCCGCCAGCAGAGGAAGGTGGGCCAAACGGTGGTCGTGATAGCGGCGCTGCAGTGAGATTTTGAGCTACTCTCGGCGCAACGTCCGCTACGGCGTCGTGCCGTAGGACATCATACAGAAACGGCGCGATGAACGTCATACTTCTAGTCGACCTTTTCGCGTCGTATTTGTCGACTGCTTATGTGAATACTCATAGGGTCGCCTGTACAGGGTGGCCCGGATGCGTTGTTCATTGAGGGTTGGCTAAGAATTGATGTCCTGCCTATATTTGAGCTGTCTGCATTGCGTTTAACGTGCAAGTACGGAAGGCTCTAGGTGAATGAGCATTTTCATCGTTGCTTTAGGCGACCGCTACCATTTTAACCAAAGCCGTCTTGCCTAGATGAAATATGACCCAAAACGTCTGTAAAAGCCTCAAACAAGTTGACTTAATGGTATACAAAAAACAACGCTGGTATACAAAAACAAAACAGAAAACGAGCGTTTGCTCGCACGTCACCGCCGGCGATCTCAACATGCGCCGGCCGTGGAAGCAAGATCTGACTACATGCAGCGCCACTTGTTCTGTGACCCGCTACGCGGCCCGCCCCTCCGGCGGCTTTGAAACTGAGTTTATGCTATAGCAACGTTGCCCCAAGTCGTTGTGCCTGCGTTACAAAAAAAAAATAGAAGAGGACCTGCCAAGGAGCCAACCCAACCTCTCTCACAGCAGCGTTCAGTGTCAAAGCAGTTTCATACCACACCTTTCAACATTTATTGAATATAGGTATACCTTGCTGAAGTTGGTGACCTGTCTATTCTGTTCGACTGTGAAACGGTGAAAAACCGCGCTGTCATTTACGTGGCAGATACGCTTGCTTTTACACGATTGAGTCCAGTGCTGCGACTTCAACATGTGGTTTGGGTCTGAAAGCAAGAAGGAAGAAAGGAGATAAAATGAAAATGCTTCAAGAGAGATGAACGAGTTCGCGCAAGAGCGTCTTCCATTTCATAACCCAGTTATCGCATTAGAGGGTCCTTCCGGACCACTCTGTCCTGTCCCCGAGGTACCGCTTTTTTGCCTGCTGGGCATGTGCCAGCCTCAGGAGGGGCTAAATTCGGCCCATTTCTTTTAATAAGCGTCACTGAGACTTGTCCCAACCACGCTGTCAGCAACGAGCAGCTCGTCACCGCTGTTGCCGACTCGACGTCGTGCATCATCATCATCATTGTGCCGCCTTTACGCGGTCATCGTCTCTTCATTCGAGCAGAAGATGGCTGGCGACTGAGTTCTGATGGTTATTGATTTTCTTTTCGTTTTTTTTTTTCTATCATGTGGTATGTCGCACTGTACCCACTTATTTCGTGAAGATGTGATCACTTTACTGGGTTCTCTATAATCGCTTCCGCAGTGTTTCGTACACATGACAGAAACAAGCAAGCAAACAAACAAGCAAAAGAAAGAGTATACTGAAGCTCCTCGTGCGTGTGCGCTAAAGTTTCAGTATGCAGCAGAAGCAACTAGTCCGTCTTTCCGTATTAAAAAGAAAGAAAGGAAGAAAGAAAGAATACGTTACTCCAAGGGGAATAATAATAATAATAATAATAATAATAATAATAATAATAATAATAATAATAATAATAATAATTTGTGGGGTTTAACGTTCGAAAACCACCATAAGATTATGAAAGACGCCGTATTGGAGGGCTCCCAAAATTTTGACCACTTGGGGTTCTTTAACGTGCACCCAAATCTGAGTTCACGGGTCTACATCATTTTCGCCTCCATCGAGACTATGAAAATAATGTTTCCGTAAATTATGACATCTATATGAAAGAACTTTGATCTTCTATTAGGAGTGGCGTGTAAATGTAACTTGTTCAATTGAAATGGTTTTCGCTCTACCACATATTAGTGGTGTCAAGTACTATACAGAATTTACTTGAGAATCAGACCACTTATCACAAGCCACTTCTCTGTTTGTTTGTTTTTTTTTCTCTCTATTTGCTGCTTCCCCACCCTCCTGTTAACGAGGGATGTTGTCTTTTTTAACGACCTTGTGACTGACGTTATTTATAAGTCACTTCGAGCAGCTGGTTACGGGGCAGTGCGTGATCTGCGAGAGTTTTGCCTTCTGCTCGCGTAACGCCTCTTTTCTCTGTCTCCTTGCAGGAGATTCGATCAAGTGCCTCAACGAGGGCGAAATAACGTACGTCCCTGGCATCTCGACAAAGTGTATCACCTGTAAGTGCCAGGTAGGCAGTGCTTTCTTGCGTGCGTACTCGGGCTTTCCCGTTTCTCTTGTTTCCGGCTTCGTGCCCCAGTCGTGCCTTGTCTGGGCCGGTCGACGGAAGCCTGCAGGCTGTGATTGTGCTTAAGGGCACAGCATAGCAACACGTCTGACCTGTATATCATTAGTCACTGCATAGCTTAAAAAAATAGTGCCATTGTGGATGAAGGCTAGCTTTTATGGGTTTTTTTTTTTTTTTCAGCGAAAGTGGATTTTTCTGGGCATCATTAATACAACATCAATATTTATTTCGAGTGATTCTCGTTTCTATACACTGTCCTGTGATGCTACGTTTCGTGATAATTCTGGATTCGTGTTACGTCACTGAAATTGGAAGGCCCGATTGGTCAGTCCCCATATGGCTGAACGCGTTGCCGCACGCGACGAAAAAAAAAAGTAATAAAGAAACAGCGGGTCATTGTGTATTCATATATTTATGTACGTGCGTGTTTTATCAGTTGCGCTTAACCGGGTCCACGTTCTTGCTTACTGCGTGGCACGCTCTGAAGTGCTGAGTGACTGACAGGAAGTGTTAATGTTGTTTTTTACGTTCGTTCATTTGCTTTACTGCTATAGCTCGGACTTCATATTGCTATGAAGGAACTTCCAATAAAAGGAAATGTTACGTGATTGGTGGGAGGAGGGGGGTATAAATTCTGCTCCACATTGTAGGTGCTGTGGACCATGCCATTAAGCGCTATCTTGACTGCCGAGGGCTGCATGGATTCGGAACAGTGGCTGTTTGTAAATAACTTTTGCTCGACTTCAAGTTCCAGTGTAGGCGTAATGGCAGTTCTCGCGTATACGAAAACATTCAAAATTGTGGCTGTCATCCTTCCGTTTTTTTTATTAATAATTTTCGTATATTGCTGAAAAATGCGCGTAATTTTTTACTTGTGCGTTTCTTGACTTCATTCCTCATTACAATTTTTTTTAGTCACCTGCGCTTATATTCAATGGCTTGTACGCCAGAGTGGTTCTATATATACATTCCCGAAAAAACGGGACACATTACTCAGGTTTGGTAAAATTTGGCCCTTTTTTTATTCGTACGAAATGTATGTTCCAGCTAAATCATCTTACGTATACGGCATTTGCTTCATCGCATTGTTTTTTCTACAGCTTTTCGAGCTAGAAATGCTGGCGAACCTCTGTGGGTCCCATGTTTCAGATGCACAGGGCCCTATTTTGGGGCCTATTGCGTTGCAGCTTACCAATATTTCCGAATGCTTCCAAAGTTAATATTCGTTGATTGCAGAGTTTGCAGAGTCAGGCACTGCATTTGTCTAGGGCTGCTCAGGTGCTCTTCTACCTATATGCTACGATAGTGCTTGCCAAAGGTCATTCGGTCAGGATGTAAGCCGCTGTTGATTCCCTCGGAGCGCCCACTCGACATACCTTCCGTGTCCCGTATATCACCACTTGGCCCTTTTGCCCAATCCAAAGAACACATGCTAAGTTTTTACACATCATAGTCAAGCACCTAAACAGCATTTCGTCAGGATATTCGCCAGCTACGAGAATTGCGCATCCCTTGCGGAGCATCCACCAGCCACAGGCACGCCTTGAAGTACTTGCTATATCAGAAAGATTGGCCCCCTCCCAGAGTGTAGAGCGTTACACCAAGCGACACTGCCATCTATTAATACATGAGACATACTCAGACCGAATACAGATATCTACTGAATGGTATATATATATATATATATATATATATATATATATATATATATATATATATATATATATATATTTATATATATATATATATATATATATATATATATATATATATATATATATATATACGAGATACTTCATGCAAGTGGGTGATATTCTGCAATTCATGGCAGCGATTCGAAGTTTGCAGTTTGCCATGCGTAAGAGGAATCATGAGCAACTGGTGCATGAAATAAAAAAAAAACGTCACCATAAAGCTCGAGCAAGAGGACATGATTTTATTCATCACTGGCTATACCGGGACATAACAGTGTTTCTGGGAATCAGTTAGCCCACGATGCAGCCCGCTCAGCCCATGAACGAACCAGCGTGGTTCCGTTCGAGCACTGATGCGGCAAGAGAATAATGTTTGCTTGCTCGCACGCCCGTTGATGTCATTATGGCGATATCACCAGATGATCTGCACCTGCGTGGGTTTCCAGCAGCGGCGCTGCCGCCATTATTGTTGGAGTATTCGGGGCGCTTCTGCAGGGGCGGCTGCTTGCTGCATGCTTCAAGTGTTTTGGCGTTTGGCACGAATACTCGGTGCATAAGACGATTCAACGCGTTGAAAACTTGAGTTTAGACTTGTTGTGGATAGTATTGTTTCGGGCTTCACTGCATATTGTTGCGTTAAGGAAACAAAAAAAAAGGCGGCTGAACAGTGCTTACATGTGGCCTGGTCATCTCGGCGTGTTGATGCTCTTGCGTTGCTTCCCTGAATTCATGCTGTTATTAAAAAAAACGAAAATTTAGTCCCTGTTGTCATGCGAGCAAACATCCTCTTTATATAACGAACGTCAGCACGCGAGCGGTACAGGTATATAGGCAGAAAAGAATTTCCCCAAAATCTGCGATCCGAAGGCGGGAAAAAAACAAAGCAATGGGACGAAAAAAAAATATAAAAGCTTTTTCCACGTCTTTTTCGTCCTAGAAGCTCTTTTTATGTACACTGTGTTGTCAACGCAGGCCTTTGTGATGCGTTACACGTGAGTAACTATGAAACGATCCCTGCTACCTTGGGACGGCGACTGGCCACATGCCGTTTGAAAAGTTTACCCTCGCAGACATGTTGTGAACGGCAAAATATATCTTACTGCACAAGGAAGGCACCAGCCAGTATAAGGATGTATATGGTGACACACACACTGCGGCGGCAGAATAGGGCGACGGCCTCAGCGGATCGACGGCTCGGCACCGAAACTGCAGTGCGCCCTCGGGCACATAATCTTTGCTACCGCTGCTGCCGCTTTATAAGGGTGGCAGCTTGGGCTACTTGTTATGGCATGGCGATAGTTATAGCGCGAGAACAAAACGACGACACAGAGTTCGCGTCCTTCTTGTCTCTGTGTCGTCGTTTTGTTCTCGCGCCATAACTATCGTCATGCCGCTTTATGTCGCGTTCGTGATATCACATGTTGAAAGGAATAGGGCTATTTCAGTGGCCTTGTTGGCTGTGATGCTGGTACGGCAGAGTTTTCGCCCTGCACTGCATGGCGTGCAGCTGCAGTGTATGCACGTACAGCACACCCTCGTAAGCATCGTTTGTATCACAGCTCTCATTCAAGCCGGTGAGAGGTCCGTTTAGGTGATCTCTGTGCTGTCCTGAAAAGACGTTGTGCCCAAATTGCCACCGCTGACGCTGATCGCCGTGCCAAGGGATCAAGCCCGCGCGGCGTCAAGTTTTGCTGCCGCTGATCGGCCCATCGGTAGCGCAGAAAGCTTGTCGCGATGCAATATTGCTGTATTTAGAGCACTGCTAAACTATACCATGCGTTATGTCATACACACTCAACTCGTGAACACATTGAACTACACGTTGGAAGAGCGCGGTATTTGCCGCTCCGCGCACTTCGTTCATTATGGAATTTGGTATCCTTTGAAAACATGTAAAATATTCGAGTCATTTCGCCCCGCCACGGTGGTCTATGGCTAAGGTACTCGGCTACTGACCCGCAGGTCGCGGGATCAAATCCAGGCTGCGGCGGCTGCATTTCCGATGGAGGCGGAAATGTTGTAGGCCCGTGTGCTCAGATTTGGGTGCACGTTAAAGAACCCCAGGTGGTCTAAATTTCCGGAGCCCTCCACTACGGCGTCTCTCATAATCATATAGTGGTTTTGGGACGTTAAACCCCACATATCAATCAATCTCCTTTCATCTCTCTCTTTCTTTATCTCAAGCAGCAACCATATCGAATCGGCAGCATGGCATATCTCTTAAAAAGCAAGAGTTGGTAGTGATGAATTAATGATGAAAATCGTAGCGATGATTTAGTTAAGGTCATATTTGCGCTTTTTTTTGTTAGTATGTGAAAGGCAATGAGGGAACTTGAAATTTTTATCGTGCTTGACGTATGTTTCTCTATATAATACAAAGCATAAAATGCTCGCGCAACAAACCAACGAATTCGGATGACTTAACAATTGGAGATGCCACAAATGTCACTGATTTTACAGAACATTAGCTTGCAGGATATTCAGTCGACCTATCTGAAGCACAGATCACGCCGTCGGGAATTGAACTTTGCAGTAACAGCCTGATCTTGTAGATGCACTAAACAGCTCACAGGAGCAAAAACTAAACATATGTATAGATGACAGAACACTTAATGTATCACTGGCAAAGCGTAATGACTCGAACCAGCTCGCTATATCCGCAGCAGTCCGCGGAAGCGCTGTCATTAATACGGAATCAAGTCGCTCATAAAGAGGCGTTCGGTGCCAGTCATTACGACGGGGTAGGTGTATTAAAGACCTCGCGTGCGATGGGTCCGGGCATATGTGCTTAATCATAGTGTGACAAGAAACCTGAGAAGGAAGCGCTATCAATCACAGCCGTCGTCGACCAAGTGTTGAGTGCATCGGAAAGCAAGAAAGACGGCTTAATTAGCGCTTGCGATCGTCTATATTCCTGAAAGGGGCATGCGCTGTCAACTCGTGCGTTTCCTCGTTTCAACACAGGGAATAGTAGTGGCGTACGAGCATGGCAGAAGCTTTGTGACTACGAAAAAGCTTGTCGGGTGCAAACGTGGCCGGAAAAATATTAGCTCAATACTTAGGCGGAACAGCGCAACTTAGGGCTCCACCGCGAAATGTGCCCATGGCACATGGTGCAGAAGTAGTGCAGAGCTCTGCAGTATAGCGAACACAGTGGTACGACCCCGCTGTCCAATGGCGCGTGCGTAGCTTATATATTAGAGAGTTTTAGTACTGCGGAATGGTGCATCACGCAAGCGCCTTGCGTTA